GTGTCCAGTCGTAATATGATGACGTGACTGTCCAGAAGCTATATCCAACTTTTGCCATGCGACCGTGAGCTTGTGTTCAGTAGCTCTGTCTCGCAATGACCATGATGCCTGGCGAATGAATGGTAATCGATCTGGTGCCCCACATCCGTTGTATCATCAAGGTGTACCCGGTCTTTGAATTTGAAGGCAATATTAATATTCGCTGAGTTTATAACCTGCTATCCGCTCGATGGATTTTGATAGACCCTAAAAGTAAGTTGTGCAGGGGCAAATTCGTATCCTGTTTTGGTCTAAGTTCAAATGGTCATTTTTCTTCTAGAAAATTCGCTTGGGAACTTTCAGACGAAAGTCTGTACTTGACCGCGGTACAGCGACTGCTTTGCGGTTAGTTTCATTGCCTAACGTCATTGGAAGGCAACGAGCCGTAATTTGCTTTCTAATCGGCCATGTAAAATGAACCGAGGTTGTTGTGTGCACAGAACCTGTCGACTCTCGACTCCCTCTTGATCCTCTCAGTCGAATTTCTACCAACTTTTACAAGCGGTGGTGAGCCATCGGACGTCTGCTGGTCAGCACCGTTTTTAAAACAAATATTATTTCTCTGGTCTGTCAAATAAATTACCGTTCGGCGCACTCGGCGCTAATGTGCTCGTCGTGAACGTTGAAAATCGGCTACTGTAATTGAAATTTTTCTAGAAACGGCGGCGCCCTCTGTGTGAATACCGCGTTTCGCTTTGGATTTTTTTCACTCTGCATCGGCTCGTAATCTGAGGTCATAAAACAAGGCCCCACTTGCCGCCGCAACTCGCGTCTATAAAGAGCATCCGAACCAATGCCTTTTAAGCTCGCCGTCTTCCACGGTTGTGCGTGCCGCGCGCCGTCGGATGGATGGCCACCGACCGTCATCTCGTCTACGTCGTTCCGACCGATCACCAACCGGTTTAACGGTGGTTTAAAGGTTGTATTCAGGCGCGAACGTTATTATTAATGCGTGGCGTTTTTTGGTACCGCTCTTTTTGGACAGGCTTTGAAACCGTCGTGCAGTCGGCGCGGTGTCAGGGCCGTTATCATGACAGAACGCTTTATGACCTCGGAAACTGGTCTCCAATTGCACCGTTGTGCACAGGAAATGAGCAAGCAACTCTACGGCCACCAACACCACCTCCATCTTCGCCGTAATCCTCGAAGAGAGTGCCGAGTCCCGTGCTGGTCTGCAAATCAGCTGCATTTTGTGACTCGAACGCATCTGAAACGTTCGGAAACTCGTCGCAGTCCCCGGAACAAAAGCATAAAGGAAAGAATCAGAATATCTAAGGCCACGGCTTCAGCAGCAACCGAGACACACCGGTAATTGATGTGCTTAATTGCAATCTCATCGACTACATTTGTCAAATATCACCTGTTCCGCCTCATGTTCGTTCGAAAGCGATGATTTACACCGGATAGACACATAGTTCAGACGATTCACAAAGACTCGCCATCCATCTGCTT